CCTGTATCGGTTTAAATTCGCCGTTAAGTTGCAAATAATTCTGTTTGAGAACGCAATAATTGGGCATTTCGCAACCAGGGCAGTTTCAGGGCAGTTTCAGGGCAGTTTTGGCCTTGTTGTTGGGAAATCAACTAGGCCTTCTAGGCTTGCTTCCTCCGCCCCACCCCCAAATCACCTAGTCCCAGTCTTTTCATGTGAAAAACCGCTGAATACTAAAAAATATAAATAAGACTAGAAGGCCTAGGTCTAGGCTGTTCTTTTGGTATTAGTATTAGAGGTGTGCATCGGATCGGATTGGACGTTTATAATCCGACAATTGGCTAAAGTTTAAAATCCGATCCAAAATGGTCTAATCCGAATCCGAGTTTTGATAAAGCATTCCGATCCGAAGAATCTTTTAAACTCTTCCAGCCTGAGAGTGGTGATGATTTTGAAACTGACAACAACTTGCATGTTGAAGATGAAGGTATTCAGCCCTGACTCTGTGTTTCATGAGGATGATTCAGGATGGGTAAGGTTTCCTTCTAGAGATTTTTATGTTGTGTGGGTCTTTATGTTTTCAGAGAACATTTATAAACATGGTGATGTTGTCTTGAAGTGTATTGGGATGGCAGTATCGGTTACAGTGGCTAAGTGTTATAGATAATTTCAAGTTTTCATTGTTACAATTACAATTATAAGATGCCAATAAATATTTTTCTAATTTCACAAGGGCTGAGATACTGGAGATTTACCCACTGACAGTGGTGAAAATAAATGTGGGAGGGGTAGTCGGGGAAACGGGCACTCAAGAAGAGGGAATGTGCGGGGCAGAGGCCGTGGCTGAAGTCGTGGGCAAGGTGCAAGACAAGGTGAGACCAGTTCAACCCAAAATGTAAGTAATCCATTATTTGTTTGGGCACAATGTGAACAGCCATTTCAAAATGAGAACACTGATAAAGCCTTTCTTGCAAATCCTGGTCCAAAGAGGGGAGCGAATTCATTATTTCCTGTTGTTATTTACCGAGGAATTGGTCATGCAAATTGTTGAGCAGACCAACCTTTATGCTACTCAAAACAATGCTACTTCTTTTAGTCCAATTTCAGTTGAGGAATTTTATGCTTTTATTGGTATTATGATTGCAATGGATTGTGCAAATTACCCAGGATGAGATATTATTGGCAGAAAGGAATTTTTGGAATGGCCTGGTTCTGTAGCATTATGTCACGTACCAGGTTTGTTCAAATACAGAAGTACTTGCATGTAAGTGACAACACAAAATGCCCACCTAGACGGCTAAAAACTATATAAAATTCAACCGGTCATCGATGTTTTGGTTGGCACTTTTCAGAAGTATTACACCCTTGGGCAGTCCTTGAGTGTGGATGAACAAATGATTGGAACCAAGTGTACAGTTTCATTTTTACAATATATGCCAAAGAAGCCAAAGAGGTTTGGCATCAAATTATGGGCTATCTGTGAAGCAGCTACTGGGTATTGCTGCAACTTTGCAATTTATACTGGTAAGCAAGATGGTAACCAATTTGGTCAAGCCTTTTGTTGGAAATTGGCATGCTGTCTATTTTGACAATTTCTTTTCATCTGTGCTACTGGTGTCAGATCTGCTAGAGCAACAAGTTCTGTCATGTGGAACAATCAGAAAAAATCGTGTTGGGCTACCAACAGGATTTGGTACCGAGAAGCTGAAAAAGGGGGAACAGAAATTTTGGAAGTCCGGTAACATGACCGTTGTCCACTGGAAAGACAAGCGTGATGTCTTTGCCATCTCATCTCGTCAAGGTAATGGAATGACAACAATCCCACCAAGAAGAGAAGCTGATGATGTAGAGAAGCCAAACATTATATGTGACTATAATGACAACATGGGTGGAGTAGACCGGTTGGACCAAGTCATTGCAAACTGTGATATGCAGCGCAAGTCACAGAAGTGGTGGAAGAAAGTCTTTGTTCGTATGGTTGAATTGTGTGTGGTCAATGCTTTTGTACTATTCCTGCACAAAAATCCACAACACAAGAAGAAAAACAGTGTGCACAGAGCCTTCCATGAGACACTAGCTATCCAGCTAACGCAAAGTCTCTTGGATAAGAAAGCTGACATACAAGTCCCCATTAGCCCACTACAAAAGTGATGATGATAGACTAGTTGGAAAGCATTTTCCAACCAAGCACAGTGACAGAGGGAGATGTACAGTTTGTGCATTAAAAAAATCTGTGTCTAGCAAAAGAAAGGACCCGAAAACGAAAAACTTTTGTCAAAAGTGCGAGAAATTCATCTGTCCAAAATGTTTTGAGACATACCATACCCGCAGTGTTTATTAGAAAAACTTCTGACATTTCTGAGTTTCTGACATTTCCAAAATGTTTTAGTTAATTTCGGACTATTTTCAGGTTGTTTTGCATATCATTCTTATATATTTGTCAGCATGACAAGTTTATTTTACCACAACATTGAATTTTGTAAATATGTGGTATATTTACGACGCGGGTAGGTGACATAAAATAGGGTATAATGTTGATCTTGGTGTCAAAATGATCCTTATTGCATGCTGATTTCACATTTACATGTAAAATACACTTATAGTTGAAATGTTTATTGTTACAATAAAGTAAAATATATATTTTTTGAATATCGTAAAGAGGTACTTCAGACTAAATGGGCATTAGCACTTTTATGATCTGGTGTTTTATGTTTTCCACCAAATATTCACATTCCTCATCATGATATATACTTTGTCATACTAGCTGGTAAAACCCATCTACCTGTGGTGGTTGACGTTAGAGCTTTTCGGAATAAGACTGTTCAAAAAATAATCTATTCATCTTCTTCATCCATATTCAGAGCGCTCCACGCTTCCTGCTTATGAAAGCTTCATATACAAAGTAACACATCGACATTTTTTTGTGAAAGGCATGTACATCGAATGTTAATAGTCCACCCGGCTTGAGAAAACGATCTTTCCACTGGTGCACTGCTTGCATGACAGGCCAAAATGAACTGTGTCACCTTTGCTAGTCTGGGATAAATATTTTTGTGATCTTTCCAAAACGCAAGAATATCAAATTCTCCCTCCATGGATATGTATTTTTCAACATCAATGTCACTTCTACAAAACACTTGGACTTCTTCAATGACAGACGAGACTTTATCTTTCTTCTTGTAAAAGTCAACTTCGACGTCATAAATATGGTCGCACAGGTTTTTCTTTTTACGTTTCGAACCAGAAGACTCAGTCTCAGACGCAGCAGCAGTACCCTAAAATGAGAATATACATTATAGAATAACAGCTAAGTCATAACACATTTAATCCTGAACAACGAACATGCAATTAAGGAAAATCAAGTTTATATAGTATGTATACTGTATTTACCTGATCTCTAATTTCTTCATTGTCTGATTCTGAGGGTTCACACATTTCTGACTGATCCCCAGTTATTTGCTCATAAAGGTAACTCATTTTCCGGTGAACCATATGTTTCTCTTTGTCTCGTCACAGATCCATAATCGCTGCAACTTTGATAGACTAAAAAATGCCTAGACAACTTGTTAATTTGGTTTGGATTGCTTTTCTTCCAATTGCTTTCATTTTCTTGATTTTTCTTGATAGCAGCCAGATCTTATTCGTTTTCGCAGAACGCCAACTTGAGCTTCGCTTCCCAAAATAAAACTCTGTGCAGCATATGCTTCTTATCCTGTTCTAGTTCAAGTTGCAGCTGTGAAGAGGTTTAAGAACGTGTGATGTTTGGATCAGGAGTATTTTGTTGATACCCTCCAAGTAGTTCACCTCGTTTCGTGCATCAACTACATTTTCAAGCTCCTCCCAACTTTCAATAACACTTCCAATCATTTCCCTATATGTATAGAAACACATGGAAACTGTTTGTTTAAGAGTTTTGTCAAGCGTGATTGAAGGTCAGTTCGCTTAACACGTCCAACAAGCCTTTTCGCAGCTTCTATGTTGGTCTTAACTTCTATGGCATCTTCGGACGTAACACACACTTTCACTATTAACGAACTGATGTGAGCAATACAACCAATTTGATCATCTTTAGGGAGATACCAAAACACAGCTTGCATAGTGTTTGTGTTGTCGGTTGCAACAAGCCGAAACGGGGCATCCGGGACATTCTCCAGGTAAAATGTGCCAATATTTGCTGTGGTGTGATCGTGAAGGTCGTACTCAACTGTTGACCAAATGAAGTTGCACAGGGTTCAGTCAGGAGAAATGTGGTGTACTGTAACTGACATACAGTTTGTTCCGGTATATTTTTCCTTCTAAAGATTAGTTGTGGTGCCGAATGGATCACCATTTATCACCTCTAAAACTTTCTTTCGAATCTCTTCATGGCAAATAATTGCAAGTGACGATGGTTCTGTGCACAAGATGCTGGCTCAGATCAAGACGTTCACCATACTTTGCACCAAGCTTTACTGCTGTTTTAAGCAATTGTTTAATACTGTCTTTTTGATAACTTGACAGTGGACTAAAGTCCATGGCTACCGTGTCAATTGCATCGATTTGTAGTGCTTCTACTTCAGCTTTTGTTAGCTTTATCTGCGACTTTTCTTGACCTGTCGAATAAATGTTAAGCGTAGTCTGTCCTTTGGATTGCTGCAAATGTGAATTGAGCAGAAAGCACGATCAGAATTTACTCGCTGGAGTTTTTCTACATTTTCTCACGACAATTTACTGGTTTCACCCTCGCCCATGTGAACTGTATGTACTACTGGGCTTTTGTCAGTCTGTGGCACTGCACAGCATACAGAACTGACTTTAGTGACTTGAAATTATTGTATAATACACTAGTCTCAGAGCAGAACTAGCGGATACCTGTTTTATGTTTATGTCAATTTGTTAAACTGCTTGTTTCCAACTTGCCATCCTGTGTAATGAAAATTTTTATCAATAGGGTACGTATTTTTGACGAACTAATGTAGGAACCAATGTAATAGAGTACTAGAATATAGCCTATAGCGTCATAACATGTCTACTGTCTGTCTAGACTCTAGACAGACTGTAGTGTTGTTGCTTGTGATAATATCGCACTGGCCACGGTGGGAATCGAACCTACGACCTTTGGAATACTAGCCTAATGATAAGATGCTTGTATGTTACTCTGAGTGAATATCCACACCGGGCAAGCTTGAAAAATATGCCTGGCCACGGTGGGAATCGAACCTACGACTTTTGGAATACCATTGGGCTAGTACTCCATTGGACCATTGGGCTAGTATTCCAAAGGTCGTAGGTTCAATTCCTACCGTGGCCAGGCATATTATTCAAGCCTGCCCGGTGTGGATATTCACTTAGAGTAACATCTTATTCAACTGAGTACATTACACCAACACAGCAAGTACCATACTGTAGTGTGTTTACTTTTACTGCATTCGGTATCTTTGACTTTGCTGAACTGTCAATTCGCATTTCTTAGTAAATAATTTTAAATATACTAAATAAATAGACGACAGTGAATCATCAATGTTATAAATATAAATTATAAAGCATCGTCATTATTTACGAGTAATAATATTCAAATTTTATAGACATAATAAAATATAGTCACAAAAATAACAATTAATATTGAATAACACCGAATTTCGACTAACCATTTATTGAACTCAGCTTCTAGGCTAAATGTTTTGTTTTTGTCGTGGATAATTAATTCATTTTATTTCAAAATATCGAAATCCTATCCGACTACGAAACAACTATCAATCAGAAATGAAATCCAAACAAATCGGATGGGATTTGCACACCTCTAATTAGTATACACAATCAGTATTCTGTACTGATATTAGTATTTGGCTTTCACCAAAGTTCTATGTAAATTCTGTGGTACATACAGCTGCAAATATATATTTCAGATGGCAGTGAAAATACAAGTAGTGCATTCAAGAAAGTGCTTAACAAAGCAGAGCTGACAGCCATTGCACTATCATATGGAAATTTTATTAAAGACGTAATAATAGTATATAAACTAGAATTTGCACAGATCAACGCTTTCAAAAAATAGAATTTTAAACGTTCTCATACCTACAAAGCTGTAATACTTCATGCATGCTATCATGTAAAATCTCACTATATACTTTGCAGATTGGAGACCAAGAATGTGGGCGGAAATGAGTAAGCATTTAAAGACGTCCAACATATTTATTGAGATTTAAAAGTGCATTTTTTAGATCATATTTTATTGTTAGAAATACAGCGCAACAATAGTTGAAGAAAAAGAGGAGAAAGGAGAAAAAGATAATAAAGAAGAAACGATGGAAAGAAGATGATGAGAATGAAGAAACAAGCAATGAGAGTGAACAAGAAAAAGATACGGTAGACAAAGAAGATGGAGAGAATGGGCAACACATGCATTAATTTATCCTAGATGTCTATAAAAATCTTCTTGTTTAGAATGAAATTGGTTGCATCGTTAGTAAAATTAACGAACAAAAATGCTGGGACAAGTTTATCGAAATCGCTTATGAGTTGTTGCAATCGGTCAAAAGACATGAACAACCTGCAACTCACAGATTAAAGTATATAATTTCCATTCTTATTTAAATGTATTATTATACCAACAGGATATGGGAAATCGATATTTATAATACATCCATAAATTTTTATTAACTCGTTAGATACAAATTAAATTACTTTCTATAGATCATGTGACTTGGAAGCGATGGGATTGCCACTCGATTATGTGGCGAGTCGAGAAGGAAATTTATTCAAAGCACTCAGCACCCATCCAGATATATTGGCACTACTAGATGCGTTTCTTTATGGTGTTACACACCAGTGTCATGTTGCGAAGTGTAGGTTATCGAACTACCTTAAAAATAAGAAAACAATTTCTTTCACATTTTGAGTGAAGGCCATTTGTTCACTAACTTCTTGACAAAGGGCCTTCACTCAAACGTCGAACAAATTGTTTTCCTATTTTTCAGGTAGCTGAACTACAATCTTGGCCATAAACCG